TATATATATATATACCAACTGATGCCTCACAGCAGGAAGTTTGCCGGATCAAATCCCAGCCTGGGGATCTTTCTGGGTAAAGTTTGCATGTTCTCTCCGTGCATGCGTGGGTTCTCTCTGGGCACACCAGCTTCCTCCCACACCAAAAAACCTGACCGTTAGGTTAATTGGTAATTCTAAATTGTCCCTAGGTGTGAGTGAGAGAGTGAATGTTTGTCTGTCGTGTGTCACTGTGATGGACTTGCGACCTGTCCAGGGTGTACCCCACCACTCGCAGAGTAACTGCTAGATTTTGGCATCAGTGAACCCTGTGGCCCTGAAAGGAAGAAGTGGGTATAGATAAAGGATGTATGGATGTATAAATAAAACACCAATTGTAATGCATAGAAGTTGAAGAAAACAGTTGTCTGTAGAAGATAGAGTGAACATGAAATATTTACTGTTGATCTCACGCACACAATATGATGAAAAATAAGAAAAAACTGTGTAAGAAACATAACAACAACGCACTCTGGCTGTCTGAGAACTTCATGGTCAAAGAACGAATTTCCTCTGACATTTCTTCTTTCTGCTATTTAATACTTAATTTTGAACTGCTGAGACATTTCCACACTCTGGAAACAACACGATGAACCCATGTATATTTTACTAATACAAGTCATATGTCTCATTTGTAATCTGTTAAATTTAACCTTTGGTTAGAATAAACATGTTTCTGTCTGGCCTGTTCAGTGATTTTTTTTTTTTGATGTACATCTATTTAATTGTGCAGCAATGATATGGAACATGAAGAGACAAGGACCTTTTTCTTTATACTTGTTATGATGAAGAGGGGAGGATGTTTTTGTTCATATCCGTGACCGTTACCAAAACATTTCATCAACTGCTTGACAAATTTTGAAAAAGATGCCAAAAACAATAATTTGATGTACGACTAACTTTAGGAGTCAAAGGTCAGAGTGAGTTAAAGAGTGTCAAGGACTTTCTGAACTGTTGGCTTAGATTAAAGCAACTGGTCAGAAATGGGGTTTCATGGAAAAATTACAAAATGTTATGGACAACAACAAACAACATTGTTTATATAAATGATAACAATTATAGAATGTGTATTCTCAATCCATGCATGCTTCAATACTTGGTTTATTTGCAAAAACACTTCATTAGATTTCATTGAGCTTTTATATTTTGAAATTGATATACCTTCTAACCTTCTATCTCATTAGTGAAATATAAGTTTTCTTTTTTTATTTTCAGAGTGGCGGAAATGGATTTCCATAATAAAGTAGTAGTTTAATGAATAGAATTTGTGAGGCTGTGTTTGTTTTAAGGTGTTACAAATTCATTTTGCTTTGAGCCGCATTCAAACTAACCATTAACTGATCAGATCAAAACAAATCTCTGCTTCTTTAAATTAAGGTCATTCCAAGTGCTAACAACAAACAAGACTGTTTATTAGCTTTACGCCAACATTCAACTTTAAAATATTTTAATTATCTCTTTAAAATCAAAATGAGATATTTTTCTAAGTTGCTAATTCTGTGAACTCACTCTTGTGTTTCTTCCTCTTCAATATAGGTTCAGTGTAGATTCCCTCAGTCACATGGATCACTTAACTGGGTAATGCCAATATTTACAGCCGTTTGAAATTAAAGGGATCATGTTTTCTTTAATTGCAGTCATGAATATCTCATATCTTCTGAATTAGTAATGGTCAGTAGTTGTGAATATTTAATTTATTGGAACATAATTTGCTGACAGCATCTGATTTCTATTTTTTAATCTTCTTCTCTTTTTTTTTTCTTTTGCCCCAAGAGTCCCTTGAACGTTGGCAGCTTCTGTGACATTTTAACTTTTGAGCAGGGTAGGGGGAGAAGAGTCTTTGTTAGTTAATCCATTAATATATAAATGATGCAACCTTTACCTGCTCCCAGTTGCTTTGGCTTTCATGTTGTTGTTGTGTTGTTGTTTGGATCGTAATCAGGTATTAATGCCATTCTGTCTGAACTCAAAGATGGCAGGCTGCCTGGTAATTCATATGCTTGTTCTCTGATGGCATCTGTCGAAGTGTGCTCTCTGCATATTGGTACATACCCTGTGGGAAATTTCAATCCAGCCCCAGACTGAGTAGGATGTAAGCAATTTCTTAACTGGGACACTTGCGTGGAAACAGCAAGAACAGAGAGCGAGAGATTCGGTAGGGGAGGAAAAGAGATGGAGAGTGGGGAACAGAGAAAGGGGAAAAAAGTTTGAGGCCAATCCTACTGTGACAAGAAGCAGTGACAGAGTGAAGAGGGCTCAGTATACTGCCTGGATTCATTAATTTGGGACATATGGTTCAGACAAACAAAAAGTTACAGCTCAGGCAGAAAAAAAATGAAGTGGTTTTTTTTCTGCACTCATTACCACAAGTACTCAATTGAAAATGGTTTATTCTTTTAAGTATAAAATCAACATATTATTTCATTAAGGGTTACTGTAGCAACTAAAAAGATATTGTGGAAAAGTTTGTTGTGCTTAAAGTTCGTTCTCCGTATAGAGAATTCAATTGACAGCAGTAAAAAGAAAAAAATGTGCGCAAAAAAAAAAAAAGTGACACAAACTCTGAAACTGCAGAAACGACTGCTTAAAGGGATAGTTCAGATCTTTGGAAATAGGAGTTTGGTAGTGATACCTTTTGACATAACTGGCACAAACTTTGTACGTACCACATGGGTACTCAGGTGACCAGGTAAATATGTTTTAAGTAAAAGATACTAGGTACATATCAAACACTCACCTGGTCCTTACACCATATTTACCACGTAAATATCTTAGAAGTGGTTTTCAAAATGTTTAACTTCTGGCCTCCAAGATAAGAGTTACAGAAATGTGTGACCCCAGGTATTATTGGTTTACATATGCAAACTTTACTAATAAATCTGTCAAACATGGGGATAATAACAATATAAGCAAACCTAATAACTATACTACTTTTATTAATTCATTATTGTTGTATTTTATTTACCATTAATAATGGAGGATGTCCCTTTAACAATTTATTTGCATTTAAACTGATGTCTGGAAATCATCTGGGGACCCCCACTTGATGTCCACAGAGGGGTCTCGACCCCAAATTTGTGAACCACTGCCTTAGACTAATAAGGTACATAACAGGTACTTGACTAAAACTAACCTGGTACTTGCAAGCTATGTACCAGGTAGGTTTT